AAGTTATATGACCATGAAAAGATTAAATACAACAAGATGGTGAAAATCAAAAAGTATGAAAGGTTTTATTTTTAACATAGAAAGAGTTTATTTCACTCTAAAACACCGAAATTATTTTTCAGCCAACCCAATAGTAAAATAGTAGTTTTAAGGGGTTTCAAGAATTTTTGCTGAGTCTTTTTTTTAATTTTTTCATAAATATGGCCAGCTAGAATCCAGGTATTATAAAAAACGTTGGGCCATAATTTAAAAACTTTATATGTCATAAAATGTGCTTCATATAAGAAAATGACAAAAACCTGCTTCAAATCAATAAAAGGTCTATTAAAAATCTTATATCATTTTTTTAAACTCTAAAATAATTTTAATACATTAAGTACAGTCTTTATTTAACTTAATATTAAAAATTATAACTTCAGTTTAAATTAGTTTATGAGATGAGAAATTACAAAAATAACAGAATCTTCTAAAGAAAAGTTATATTAAAACCACAAAATTTAAGAACAATTTTTTAAAACTGCAACAATTTATTCAACTAATTTTATTACAATATTTCAACAAAATCCAGGCAATATGAAAAAAGTTTGTCAGATGTTTAGGATGTTTCACGTTTTAGGGGGGTAACAAATGTGCTACTTGCCTCTTCTTTCTTTCCTTTAAGTGAAGTTTCTTTCATTGTATTTATACTTCTTATATTTTAAAGTAAAAAATTAATTTGACTAAAAATATTAATTTGATTATAAATTATACATTATAAATTTATTTGATTAAAATCAATTCGTTTTTCATGAAAAAACTAACAGGGGTAGCAGCAAAGTTTTTTAAAATTTTAGGGTAATTTTAGGAACTTTTTTCAAAAACTTTTAGGTAAATTTTAGGGGTAATATACAATTTTGCTAGGTTAAAAACAGATCACACGGTAGTTTATTACATAACAGAAGATTATTACAATTCATCCACACATATCATAAATAATTGCAAGCCATAAAATAAAGCTCTGAAATTTATTAAGTCAAGAATGAAATCTCTAAAGTGTAAAAATGAAATTTCAACTTTACATATTACCTATCAGAAATTAAGTGCATAATTCAGGAACAGGCAAAAGTGAGAATAAATCAAGAGAAAAAATAAATTAACACCAACTTGGATTTTTATTTAATTTTTACNGCCTCATCCAAAACTTCTTCATCTGGAGGATTGTGTTCTCCCTGTAATCAGAGTATTTATGAAAAATTACAAAGTCAAATCCCAAGTTTGGAATGCTTTTAAATTGAAAAGATCTTGACTCTGTAAAATTAATATTCCATACACTATAAAAACTTTGCAGTGGGCCCATATTCGAGAAGTCGTGGGTTTAATCCCCGGCTGTGGAACTTCCCCGTGTACTAAATGGTAACTGATGCATGTTAAGTCAATTGAGTCATAAAGTCCTCCATGTACCCATAACAAATCACACCTGTGGGGGTAATAATCCAGGAGTTTCCTTGTCTTCCAGATTGGTTAAAAATTACATGGCCTATGAGTTGAACATTAGTAGTCGTAAACCCACAATTGGGTCGGCTGTTCAACAATGGTTATAATATAAAAAATAAATTAAAGTCGTCACTTTTTTAAGCGCTCAATTTTACGCTGATTTCATTGTAAATCTATATTGTTTCCCGATCGCTTCTTCAAACTGCTACGAATTTTCAAATGGTTTCAAAATATCCACGATATTACGATATACGATTTCCAATGTTGAGTAATCACTTTTTAACCCTATTTATGCATGCCAATTTTACCATGGGTATTTATAACTAGCAATTTCTATTTGGTTTTCAAATTCCTCGCTATTTTAAAATTCCCATATTATTTATCAACCATTTTTTTTGGTAGATTTTGTGATGCATTCCCTTGTAGTTTTAAAATTTTTTATTTGGAGATGTGAATTTTAAATCATGCATAATTACTTAATGACGCACTATATCAGTGCTACGTTCATCGCAAACGTAAGGGATTTTTCGTTTTAAGTATTACGATGCTTTTCCACGGAATTTTGATGATCTCGCTAGTTTAACTACGATGTTATTACAATACGCGAGTTTCTTATGATGCATTTAAATAATGACTTTATTTGTGCATATTTCAAAGTAAACTTAAAAGTTACTTTTCCATTGTTCTATTGTCAGTTAGTGCTACACATTAGTAACTGTTATTTAGAATCCTGATATTATAATATGACATTATTGCAATTTGAAAATTGTGTGGAAAAATCGAATTTTTAAACCAATTACTGTTTGTAATTTATTTTGATTTAAACTTTTGTAGCTTAGGTTTTTTTTCCTCTTTCGGAAGAAAACGAAAAAGCAAGTGCTTTTTATTTAAAATTTATAAGCCCCAAATAACTCAAAAATCATATATAAGGGCTTAAATATAATGCTATATAATTATCGAATCTTATTTTGTACTATATTGGTTACATTTTAATTTTTAGTTTTGTAAAATTTATAGGTTTGAAACGAATAAATTTTCGTTGCCCTTTTTGTACAAATAAGCCCTTAAAAACACCTCCTTCTTATTCATATTTCATTTTGAAAAATAATAATTCACTGTTTTAATCATAATCAAACACTAGTAAAATTATATTTGTTTATAGTAGGTTTAATACTAGGTAGGTTTTACTAATATTAGTTTTGTTAAAATTATTCTTAACTAATTAAAATTTGTATAAGTATTATTTTCCGAGGGAATATTAATAAAGTGATTATTTCTTACGTGATTATTTCTTACACAAATACCTTTTTTTTTAAAATCAAATGCACCATTAAATTTCATTTTCTTATAATTTTCAGCTTAAACTAAAGAAAAAAGATCTAAGTTATTTATCAATCAATAATTTGTTGTTTTAGTTATTTATTTATTATTTTTTCTTTTAAAAAATATGCCCAGACATTTTATTTTAGCATGCCTTTAACCATTTGTCGAAACTACTATTTTTTTCCTTCTTAGTTTCATTATGACACTCTTTAAAATATGCACATAAAATAGGGTAAATTAATTTAGTGAAATATTTATGGTCAAATGAATGATTTCTTACCAATCCATCATCTTCATTAATTTCAGAGGGTGGACTGTCCTGTAATAGGAGGAATTATTAAAAATTTCATGTATTCAATACTAAATTTAAATGATACTTTTAAATTAAGATTTCAATGGAGGTTTTTTAAACACCTCAAAGAAGTTGAGAATTGCCACCAAGATCATCCGAAGAAAAAAACGCAGAAATACTGAAATTATTTATTACAGTCAGTAGGGAGAGATTAAGCAATATCTAACGAGTTAATTTTTAACTATTCCTTACTTATCTGATCGATCATGTATTTCTTAACATTTACAGCTAAATATTCCCAAACGGGGAGTTCTCCCTAATAGGTGGGCGAACTCTAAAGATAAGTTGACCACGTATTTTAAAAAAAGTGCTTATCATTGGGAAACCCCATTTTATTATAAGAGCACTCATACTACACAATTAAGGTAAAACATTTACAAAAATGACTCTTAAATTATTTCTAATAATAATTTTAATTTATGTTTTAGCCACTAAAAATTCCCATTCTTTTTATAGTTTTATTCTGGAGAGTATTATTGACTATGTCAATACTCATCATGCTTCAATTTAGAGCCGAGTTAACATGTATTATATGATAGCGAATTACTATTAAAGAATTGCACTGGTAGATATGCTACAATAGTACCCCACCAGAATTTTATCGGAGATATAATTCAATGAACCACTAGTTGATTCAGTGTCGTTCTCTCCATGAGGCCGGAAGAGCTAAATTCAATTTACCGGGATTTGGATCATCGTCGCGAGAGCTATATTAAGTTCACGATTGTCGGTCACTCCAGAGATGCTACTAGAAGTTGAATGTGACAAGCTTTAGTGGTGTGTGATTGAGAATTAGTAATAACATTTCAAGGAGGGCAATGTCACAAATAGCAAGTAAACTATTCACATGGGACTATCGATCCAATTAGTAGTGTACATATCAAGTAAGGAGTTACTCTTAAGGTAGTTTCGAATCACGCCACCAATGAGGGGAGAATAATATCGACAATGTCAACTTCATCTATGAAAAGATATATCAAGATGGAGTCGAGTTAACATGCATTATATACTAGTAAATTGGTATTGAATAATTGTAATAGTAGATATGCTACAAAATGTCCACTTTACATTAGGGCAACTAGTGCATTAAAGAAACTTACTTGTCTTACTGCTTCCAGCCTGATGATTATAGGCGATCTCCTCCTGTCACAAAGAAATTTTTTTGCTTAATTTGGAATTTGCAAATTAATACAATGATGCAGGAAATATGATACACTGTAAAAAACTGTTGTAATATCTCGCCGAATAAGATCTTTAAAAACCCAAAACAAATTATGTGAAGCAGCATTTTATTTCAGGTAAATATCAAATCAAGCATTCATATACAATTTAAAAGGTGTCATTTATGTCTAAACGCTTTAAATGGAATAAGCTGACATTAAACTCTTGCACTATTACACCATACGAGAATTATTTTCATTTCCGAAAACACCAATATTGGTCGTTAAAATATGTGTGTATGTATTTAGTTGTGTAATAAGGATAATAATATTTTGATTATTAAATATTTATGAACTTAATGATTTTATAATGCATAATTTCTATCTGTTTTTATTCTGTTAAGTATATTCTTTTAATACATATAATTCTTTCTAATATTGTCACCGATCTTCAATGCATGTTAGATTTACAAACTTATTTTATTTTCAGAATTAGTTTTGGCATGATTGTAAATTAATGATTCTCACTTTATATTTTATAGTAAAAATAACTTTACTGATTCTCATGTGTATCATAACTTACTGTTGGTGTTTTTAACTATATATAAATGTTTACACTTTTATACAATTTTGCAAACATCAACTTTATACCATTTTAATTCCAGCTTTCTGTATGTACTTATACTTTATATTTAATTTTATTCATTCCTTTTATCTGATTCTATTCATCTACTTATAATATTTTATCTTTTATAATTTCAGGACAAGTGAAGCTTAGTATGCCTTTTGAACTGTTTTACGGTATTATTCGGCGCAGCATGTCCTTTTTTATAACCTGTGCCACTAAACCCTACATTCAATTCAATTTCTGCTACATAAAAAACAGTCTCTGAAGCTACTTAGCTCCAAATTGAGTAAAACAGATGTTTCACTATCCTTGGTTCAACTTTAATATAAAATAATCATCACCTTTTTTATGTATTGATACATTAAAGGTTTTTACTGTGTATGAATTAAAACAATAGATGTCAACATCAAAATCACTTAAAATGTGAACATAACTGAACATGGTCTGAATATTGAAAAATAAATAAAGGTCAGAATGTTGAATGGAGAAAAGTCACTAGTATCGTACAAATGTGATGGTTATTTTATCTAATTGCTTACGTTATAAAATATATAAATATTAATCTAACAAATTCCATTAAAAATAAACAAAACTAAAGAAAAGAACATTGATACTCACTCAACTGACTCTTCAATCTGATCATCCTGCAACGGAATGAACATTGATTAACGTATTGAAGCTTTTTTTTAGCAGTTATTTATTCATGCATTGGCTACTTTATACCAATGAATAAGTGTTATTTCAGAAACTGTGATAGTTATAGAATATTCTTTTTCTTTATAATATTTCTGTGTCTATATAATACAAAGAAAAACAATCATACGAATTACTTGAAATGGTATCATTCGTATTGATTATAAATTAAATTTTTACCGTTTTCTTGTAAAGTAATTTTTTAAATTTTGAATGCTTAATTTCAACCAGAATATACACTAGAGGGCTCCGCCCCATGCTCACCAACCCCTGATAATTGCTACGCAATTACATTTTTGTTTGCTTCGCGAACAAAATTAAAGTCGTTTTCCTGGAAATTAGCTGACAATTTTTATACACCAACATCACATAGAGAGAATATGATAGCATTATAAAATCTCAGAGGTGCTTATTATCAGCATTATAAACTTATATAAAGCGAAGAAGCAATATTATTTAACACATTACTATAGGGCATTAGCCGGAGACTAATCTCTGTATCCAAAGCACGCGTGTCAGAGCCTAACTCAAATCATTGATGATCTTATAGGATGTCGGAAGCTCCCGATATGGTGCTTCATCCCTCCCCCCCAGTAATTTAAATTTCAAACTGAAAAAATTAAAACCCTTAGAGGAGATATTAAGGTAGAGAGAGTCAGTCTATTGTTTGGGCTCGGAAAACTTGTTCAAAGATGGGGGTTACCTTTTTGGCGAAAAATTCATAGCTGGCGGTCGCATCGTACGGGAATATTTTAAAGAGTACCTAACGATTCCTCTCTCTTTTTTTAAATTTCATTTTGAATGCTTTCCCAATTTTATTCGTGATTGTAAGAAATAAGTTTTCTAATAAAAATACATTACAATATGTGCGCTACATTTAATTATTTGCTTTTAATTGCTCAATCATAAATAGCTAATAACATATTAGTTAAGCATGATTTTACCAAACAATAAAATAAAAATAATGATTTTTTTAATCGAAGATACATTTTAAAGTATGTAAAATATAAAGAAACAATTGCAAATGATTATATGTATTAATTATTTTTGTCAAAAGCTCATAAGAGATAAGAATCTTTGTCTATCAAATGAATCCGTAGTAAAATGGGTTAAGGCATAACACACTATTATTGGATGCTATGAATTCTTCTCTGTGAACATCTACTACCCATGCTTTTCGTTTTATCTCATCTTTAGGAATTCTACGTCAGTTAGCTATTAATACTAGGTGGTTTTAAAATTATTATTAGACAAATAAAATAATAAAGAAACATGCTGAAAAATACGTAAAATGTTTTTTTAAATTAAATTGAAGTTGAAACTATTAACTGAAATGATTTAAAAAATCTCATAATACACTACACATTTAGTATCTGATTTTTAAAATGCAGAATATGTGTGAATAAAAAATTAGCAATTTTATATTTGAGTTAAATAATTATGTAAATTGTTACCAAAAAACAAAGTAATTTAAGAAAATGTGTGTCTTCTATTAGTACAACGAAGAATTATTAATTCAGGTTCAGATCGATGGGAGCTTGTCCATGAAGTAAAGGCGGGCGATACGCAATGCTAACCACATTGTCATTATTATGAGTGTTGATCATTAAATTGTGCTAGCTTAACCTTCATGACTTTCAGGCACTCAACGGGCTATTGTGGGAATGCTTTGCTTTAAGAATTGTTAATACTTTACTTATCTTTTATTTTTTCTTAATTTTTATTATAAAAATATTTAGTTAAATTTTTAAAACATATTTCCCTAACATTTATACATACTTTACAATGAAAGCCTTTTATAATTAATTTTAATCGATGCATAATTTTTCTTATTTAGATTACGTATAATAATTTAAAAAAATTTAACAGGGCAACTGAAATGGCAATTTTAAATTTTTTTATTAATATATATATACACTGGTATGCAATTCATCTTTTACATAACTTTTTTATGGTTTTAGTGTTAGTGATAATTTTTCTGATAGAAACAAAATATTTTGTTTTATTTTTAAAATATTAATATTTTTACATGTTGCACAATTTAGGAATTCTAGTTTGCCTGCCATGCGATAATAATTTATTTAAACCAATGCATACAATTAAAATTTTAGTGAGTTAACATAACATGATGAAAGTATTTAAATTAAAATAACAAATTTTGTTAGCATAGCATGATGAAAGTATTTAAATTAAAATAGCAAATTTTTGTCTTGTTATTTGTCCCTTTATCTTATTTTTAAAAAAAAGTATTGCGAAATTCCATATAAGAACATACTGTCTACCAGTTGTTTGAAACATTGATAGCTCTCGACAGCTACTTGTAATTTTATATTAAAAAAATTAATTGATATTCAAAAAAAGAATGATTCCCTTTTTATTTCTCGAAATCAAAATTAAATACATATAATGATAATAATAAATAGCCACACCTTTTATAATCCTATAACAATTATTTAATAATAGGACCTATTATTAATAATAGAACCTATAATAACCTAGTTAATATTTTCTTCAATAATAAATGTACAGTAATAAATATAAAGCTTCCTAAGTAAATATGAATATCCAAACAATTTTTCCTATATAATAAAATAATAAGAAATATATTCTTCGGCTTATAAATTTTATTTAATAACGGAATTTCTAAAAGATAATTTTAGTTTTGATCCAAAAAATTATTTTTTGCATGAAATGTATTAAATATATAATTAAATCATTTAATATATATAATTAAATTCGCTTGAAATTATTACAAAAAATTATTTTAATGCATCAATAAAAGTTACAGAGCGAAAATTAAAGCGATCTGTTTGCAAACATTGGCGTGAAAGAAATGCGCCAAATCCGATGCACGCGCTTTATCAGAAAAGGAGTAAAAATATCAGAATATTTATATCAATATGAAATTTAATTGTAATGAAAATGCCTATAAATGTCAACTACATTATAATCTATTAATTTAAATAAAAATATAAGAAAATAATAGCTATTTTGCTAGTTAAAAACCCATTAAATTCATTTCATAACCTGACTTGCTAACATAAAAATTGCAAATAAATGTTTATAAGTGAATATAAACGAATAAAAATCTTATTTGTGAAATGTAAAATGTCCTCCTTTAATGAATTTTTCGTCACACCCGTATCCACAGCAGTATACTACCATTTTTTTTAAAATTTTATAGTTCAAAACGCAGCTCCACCTCCATAGTAAACGACTGGGGAAAGGGTTTACCAGAGGAAAAGTCGTCCAGGAATCACGTGACGATGTTCGTTGCAACGAGGGATGGGGGACTGGTTCTCTCTACCTAAATTACTCCTCTAAGTTGAAACCTAATGAAAAAAGAACTTTAAAATATGGCAAACAAATTAAAACATGTAATATTAATAAGTTGATGCTGAGTAATATTTCAAAAGCAAATACCATTGCAAGTAATTTCCCAATTAACTTCAATACTGACAACTGACAAAATATTTTAGTGTCAATCAGACAAAAAGCAAATCTATATTATATAAAACGCTAATATGTATGTATCAATAAAACAGATGACATTTCTTTTCTCGCGTTGGCAACAGTTTTCATTTTTAATTGATAGGCTTCGGCGCGCAAGAGCACGTAGGGAGCATATCGTATGTCTAATCGGGTGAATTCTCACCGAATTGGCAAAGAAATTCTCACAAAATTATCTTCATCGAAGCAGATGCTTTACATCCGGCTTTCAGTACTATTTCATATTGTTTTACAACACATGGTTTTAGCCCTCTGGTGGGAAAGACTCTAAAACACAACTTACAAAAGTTACTTTTCTCAACAACTGAAATTTAGAATAGTGCGATTAAGAAAAATATGTGAACTGTTTGTAATTTCAAATTAATATTGAAATGCACAGGTTTAGAATTTCCTACAGATAAAGTTTTCGGAACTTCAGTGTTCAAAAAAGTATACAAAAGCTAGACGTTAAGAACGTATCCAATGCGCGAGCAAAGCGAGCATCGGATTACGAAGCAATCCGAAATGAACTGCGAAAGCAGCTCCGGGGGTTGGCGAGCGCCAGCGAGCAGGGGGCGAAGCCTCCTAGTTCTATACTAAAAACATATGTAACTGAAATTCAACAAATTAAATTAAGCAATTTTTTCTCATAGTGAATACTAATAAAAAAACAAATATGAAATAAAATAACTATGTTATCAATGATCAATAAACATTTTTGTCTGATATGTTACAAAAAATAAGGTGAAAACAATAAAATTAAAAATTATTTACAATAGATCTCTGAATATTCACAAAACCTAGCTATGTACATTTTTCATTAATTTTTCTTTTCACATCATTTCGCGTACCAATGATTTGCACTTTTATGCATTATTTAAGAAATATCTCAAACATATATGAACTGTTAATTAATATTTCCGGCTACACGATTTTTTGAAAGTAATCTAAAAATAAAACCACTGAACTTTTAAACGAAGAAATAGATCCTAGGTTCTCAAAATTCCTACTAGATTAACAACATGTGATTCATATATCTCTAATAAAAGCATTTTTTTTTAGTTCAACAAGTTCAGAATAAAATTCATTATCAATTTATTTTGTCACTACTGAAAAATGCTAATCTACAAAGTGTGTGTGGCCCTTAATGTTTCACTATAAAAAATTATTAGGTATAATCGAGCTAGTACACAAAACAAATGCTAAGTCAAATATTAGGACAAACTCACCATCATTGAAAACCTCTTAGAAAAAATTACAAAACCAGTGTATTATTAACACAGTAAGACAGATATTATATACACTGTATTCAAAAAAAGTCTTAAAGTTCAAAAACTTATAAGAAGAAAAAGTTTAATATTAATCAAACAATTATGGTTCTTTGAAAGATTTAAAACTTTTAAACTTCGCATTTTCAAGTATTCGA